TATACATATACACATATTTACATACAGAAATACATACATATACACACATATAAACGTTCTGTATAAAATTTACACTTTTCACGTCCTTCTATTTTGCCATCAGGGATATCAAGGGATCGTTTGATGCAGCTACAGCCACTGTGCTTCTAATGCGTGATGTTATCTCACAATCGAGGTGGAATACTGCTGCGGAAATCATGGATATAGTGCGTGCGGTGGGCAAGCGAGTTGCAACTGCTATGCCAAACGGTGAGTAACAATCCCTGGGAATGACACGCAGGCTCAAACACTCGCCATTCGCACCCACCTTCTTCAGTAGCTCTCATATTTTTCATTACATTCGAGTTATACATGTGTGTAGACAGGCATCTATCGGTTTACCTAAACGCTCAGACTGCTACTACTCCGCCCCCCCTCTCCCACCCTTTTCATATCTGATTCGGTTCGGCAAATAGAACTGACGGTGGGCACCATGACCCGTCGAGTGCTGTACATCATCAGAGAGGAATATGCCGCCGACGAATCCAACAGGAAATCATCACAGCAGAATCAGCAAACCACTGCACCCAACGTCATCCAACTCAAGGTACGCCCCACCCCACGGCCCACGGCCCACGGCTTACTCACAGACCAACCGTACACCCCACAACTTCCACAGCCAATAGACCCCGCAGAAAGAGTATTTGGATGACTAGAGCACGCAAAGCTTCACACGGCTGCGTGTCTATCGGTCTATCTGTGTGCCGCTGGTTGTCTGAGTTGAGTCATTGTTCTACCTGATACCTGCACCGCGCGCTTGGTTGATGCAGGCCTCTATGCGTGTCTCGGTTGTCTTTATACCCCCCCCCCCCACCTCTCTCTCGTCCTCTATTACATTTATCTGTACATTGTGCTTCCATGCTCTCGTATTCACACCGCTGTTCGAGGCCTGTCACGCCATCTGCACCCACCTGGCATGTTGTGTGGGTGTGGATTGGTACGTACTGTATATGTGCTACTGTAAGCACACATGAGCTCTTTATCTCCTCCTAACCGCTCGTCACGGTCAGATCACAAGAGAGTTTCGCTGCTCAACACTGCACGTACGTCTATGCGCGATACGACTATTCCGACATAGAGTCAAGCACTTGCCGTAAAACGTCTTCTGATAAAACATGATATCAACACCTCAGACACTGCAACGGCTGGTAACTGTCAAATTAGACCAACACTCTGCGTACAAGGAGGAGAAGAAGGATCTCAAAGGTTCGCTTATGGAGGGTCTAAAAGAACTTAAGCTTGAGCTGGACAACAGTCGGCATAACATATCCATGCATGCCCAGGACTTGATCCATGCCAACGAAATCATTCTGGTGTACGGCCTCTCGACAACTGGTAAGCGAGTTGCTTTGGAAATAGTGTATGGCTGTTTGGGATAAGCCAGGTCTGTGAGGGGTTGTCAAGTTCATAGCTTGGGCTTAGGCAACTCGGCTTTTCTAAGCCAGTTTTATTGTGTACGTATATAAAATGCGAACTCACATACATGCACGTCTGCTATCCCCTACAGTTGAATCCTTCCTTCTATCGGTCTACAAACCCACATACACGTACGCATTTTATCACCTACAGTCGAATCCTTCCTTCTATCGGCCTACAAGAGGCATTCACAGAAGGGCATCCGATTCTTTGTGGTCGTGGTGGAAGCCGCTCCTTCTTATGGTGGACACATGGCAGCACAGAGACTCAGTGCCGAAGGAATGGCAACTACCATCATCACAGACGCTGCTGTGTATGCCATTATGGCGCGTGTGAACAAGGTCATCGTGGGCACAAACGGGATCATGGCCGATGGAGGACTCATGGTAAGACTTGTGCGTGCATGGGTTGCAGTGTGTGTGTGTACGATGTGTGCGTGTATGTATTTGTATCTATGCGTGTGCGAGAGAGAGAGAGTGTGTGTGTGTATGTGTGATACGTACGTGTGTATGGTGTGTTGTGTGTATTTCTGTGGTTGAGATACACAACGTTGCTTATGCGTCTGTAAATGCTTCTCCTTGTACCGTCGTACAACCATCGCCTGTGTGACAACGTACCGCAATTGCGGCCATCATCGTCAAATAGCAATGCTCTTTATGCGAATTTACACATGTCTGGTGTACTTAAAGGGGGACCATATAGGACAAATCCGCCGCGTTGTATTTCCTTTTGGTCATCATCACACACCCATCGCCCTTCTGATGCCGGATCTTATCATACCGAAGCTCATTACAATGCCAGTTATCTCACACTCGCACACCACACTATCTAGGCTCCCTCAGGTACACTCAATATAGCATTGGCGGCGGAGGCACACGCCGTGCCTGTGATTGTACTGTCTGCTCTATACAAACTGGCCACCACGTTCCCGTGCGCGTACGATCCGGACGAGTTCTGTGCCGTGGGTGACCCAGAACAGACGTATAAATATGCCGACGGTGAGTGGGTTCGTGAGCTCTAGTGCTATGCGTGTATACAAGGGCACATCAACCATCGAGGCTAAAGGGTGTAGTGCGATGCTTGTGGTCGTGTGCTGTGCATGTATACATGGGCGTATGCATCATTCTGGTCGAGAGTTGTATATACCGACAGCGAGTGTGGTACTTGTCACTTAGTGCTATGAATGTATGCATGTGTATAAAGTTCGTTGCTGATTTCGTACAGTGCTGTATGCGTGGGAGTGGGTGTCACTTGAATTGGCCTGTGTTAGTCGCGGGGACTGCTGGCTCGATCTGCACTGGTTTCTTGTCTTCTCGCGGGGGTGTCGATGTGATTGCAAATGCAGTGTTAACTTCTGTACGAGAGTTCCTATTCCTTGCCCTCTATTCCCGCTAAGGGCATGCTACTAATTGGTATCTGGAGCACCTTGAGTCCAGGGCTAAACATATGCATAGGTGTAGTTTGTCGTAGTTCAAATCCAGATTTGTCTGAAATGACGGGATCGGGCACCAACGTTGTGGTATATTCGCTGATAAAGTTTGCCTCCATCACCACGTCTCGCTTCTTGGCGACAGGCCAAAACTGCATGCATGCTCCGCAGAGTCATCATTTGATGGTGTTCCCATTCTAACTTATTATCGCGTATTTCTGTTGGTCGCACAGCCGGTATTCATCATTCTGGCCAGATTCAAACACCGTTATATGACTACGTGCCACCGAATCTGATAAGTCTCTACGTCACCAACAGGTATTTGCGTTTGAGACCACAAAGAGGTGTACGTGCATGCATCATAGTGTGACGTGCGTATATGTAGTGTGGGGGTTTTATACCACAGAGGTGTGCGTGCATGTATCATAGTGATTAAGGCCATAAAGTGGCGTGCGCATATGTAGTGTGGCGGTTTTAAATCACATAGATGTGTGCGAGCATGTAGTGTGGTGTTCTAAGATCTTATCGAGATGTGCGTGCATGTAGTGTAGTGTACCACGTGTGTGAAGTACATAGCACAGTTATCAGTGCATGAGTGATGCATCTGGTGACAAAGACGTCCTTCAGCGCATCTGTCTGCTTTCATATCAAACGCTGGGTGATGCAGTGGTGAGTGGTGTGCACACATAGACCGGATGTTCGCCTGGCTAGCGTCACTTATATGGGCGAGTTTCTTGAAGGAGTACGGATACGCATCTAGACTATTTGATATGAAACGTATCTTTGGTGGTGGGCTGTGTTCAATTTCAGATTCAGAACAAAAAATGTACTCATCGACATCACAATTTTTCTTTTTCTTTGCAGCGGTGGTCACGCCCCCACATATATCTACCGATTGCTTAGCGAGTACTACCATCCGGACGATCAAATCTTGTAATTAAGAAACGAAAATAAATAAATATTTGATTATTTAGAAGTACATAAATATCCGATTATGATTATTTAGAAATACATAAATATCCGAAAAATAGCCCACGGCGCTGAGTTTAGCCCAGATTGGAGCGCGGGATGGCACGTTGTGTCAACTTACCTACCGGCTCCTATACTGGATGGCTGCGTCCTAAAATCTTGTGTTTCTCGCCGAGTCGAGCGAGATAGCAAGGCTCTTATTTCTTATATGTGATTGCCTCATCTGATATTGGCATATTCCAAACACAAGGGAGGTTTTAATTCCACCATAATTTTTTATATGTACTCAAGAGGCTTTTGTGGAGCGCGACAACGGAACCCCCCCCCCCGCAGTACCAGACATTTTCTGAAGCGTAGACTTATTGAAGGCGCATCATACTATTCGCAGGTCATGCGTCAACGGATACATATAATCATTCACTCTTACGACTTCCATTGCTGCTGTGCAACATCCGACCGAGTTATCCGCGAAGTCATACGATCCAAACGGTTAGAATGGCCTGATTATTGCAGCCAATTTGTTGCGTGTTAAGTTGCAATATGACTTACAAGTCTACATGTTTTGAACTGATAACAAACTAGCCAGTAAATTTGGATAACGGGAGGCATGATAAGAGTATGAACACTTGTCGAAAGTTAATTTGTACGGTTAAACGCGCGCACGGAAATGGGCCGCTAAAGAGGTGAATATGGCGATTAGGCCCTATTCTACTATAGTGACGCGACTGGTATCACAATAAATTTAGAAAGCCAATACTCTTAAGATGGTATATATCTACAGATAAAAACAATGGTTTCTATCAAGTCAGTAAAAAAATCTGACAGCCCGGTCTCGATTTCATGCATAAATTTAATCACCTTCCCATTAAATCGCACAAATTAGATCCACAAACTAAGGTCCACAACAGGAGGCAAATTTTTGTTTAAAAAAAAGAAGATACCGAAGAACAATTTAGCAATTTAGAAATAAATTAATAGTTGTGGATTCAAGGGCATGACTTTCTAGGACTTTATTGCTAATCTAATTGTAGATGATATCTAATGTTAGATTCGACATGCTTACTGAAGATTGTCTAGTACCTTGCAAACCTCGACGAACACTTCGTCCGGGCCTGGCACAGATGAGATGGTGGTCACGAGATTCTTCACCTCAAAGTGCTGTTGCGATGAACGGAAGTGAGTGTGAGATGAGAACAAGCTACAAACATTGAGACATCAGCATGCAGGCGTGGGCAATAACAAACAAATTCTCGTGGGCAATAACAAACAAATTCTCGTGTGCAATGTAGACGTTAATAACGATGATTCACACATTGAGGCTCTATATAAAATACAGAATTTCAGAGTCGAACGTCACAGCCAGAATCAGCCAATGCTAAGAATGGGACTCCCTTTGAGCGGCAACAGAATTTACACTGGGGCGGTCTGCAGGCGCTCTCGCTATGTGAGATATTATCGTACCACAACTATATTTTCTAAACCAATTGAGGATACTATAATTAAATGTAGGTCAAGATGATGATTTTCGCCTATCCGAATGGCCAACCTTTCACCGCGACTGCCCACTCTTTATCGTATCTATACGTCGCGGCTACGCGCACGCAACTCGGACACGGGAAATATCCCCACTAGATGCCCACAAATAACCAGGAAAGACCCCCACAAGATTACACAAATAATCAGGCAAGACCCCCACAAGATATAACGCAAATGATCAGAAAAGACCCCCACAAGATATAACACAAATGATCAGAAAATACCCCCACAAGATATAACACAAATGATCAGGAAAGACCCCCACAAGATATAACACAAATGATCCAGAAAGACCCCCACAAGATATAACACAAATGATCAGGAAAGACCCCCACCAGATATAACTCAAATGATCAGAAAATACCCCCACAAGATATAACACAAATGATCAGAAAATACCTCCACAAAAAAACACAAATGATCAGGAAACTAAGCCCAGTACTGCTGAAGGCCGAACAATCCAGCTACAAGTCATTGGTATGAAGATCAAATCACCATCACCCACATACACGCTACTACTAAGCACATGTGGTTCCATCAGTACACACTATAATGATACGGCGCGGAGACCTACTGCCCACCAGTCAGTGACACAAGGCGCTCTTCAAGGTACAAGTATAGGCTTGCACGAGGAAGACTCATGGGTAACGAATTCGCATGCGAAGCACAGAAGTATCAGAAGTATTCAGGTGGATATATGACACAGGTGCTCCAGCGGTCATGCTACGCACTTCAGATTTGATCTCACGCCTGACGGTATATTAGAAACTCAAATAATTGAGACACAACACTCGACTGCCAGTAGCACCGCAAAACAAAAAGCGATACTAAAAGGGTGAGACAAAACTCGCACAAAAAAAGAGCTGAACAAACCTGAATGTACAACGCCACTTCTACCTTTCGTCATGGAATGGTTCTGTGCATTCTCCAGCAATTATATTGCAAAACCATACCCTCTCATACAGCCGCACGAGCGAACCAGACCGGCAGGCAAAACTACCAGAAACGAAAAATACCCAGAACCACATATGCATACTCAGACACACAAGCCTAAACACAGACCGCACATACGTCAATGATGGGTTGCGTGGACTCCTTGAAGGTGACGAAACGCTTCTTGAACGACTCCACGTTATCGTCAGTCCTGCCGCTCGTCTCGCCTCGTTTCATAGCACGCGCTAGACACTCCTGTGCGGCAACGCAATCAGCAGGTGGATATGTGACAAGTGACTTGGCCAAGCAAGGTAATGTGTGGCAGAGAAGTGGCAGAGCACACGCATGCACATACAACAGGATGGCAGGCTGAGGAACGCCCCAGAAATGAACTGCCGGTGTTTAATTCAGATCGGAGGCACGTTTGTGCAGCAGAGACACATGCAGAAGCACACGCACGGCAATACTCTGGCCCACCAAGATATTAGACACACAAATGGGGGTGAAGTGACTTGCGAGTTGTGATGCGATGGGAAGGCTAAGACATGTAGACACGCTTGTGCATTGAGTGGTCAATAGAGAATGCACGAAGGTGAAAAGGCGGTGCCTGTTGTACGGTCTATAGTTGTTTGCCAGCTCTTAGTACTATGCAGCTCAACACTACCAACACATGATGAGTGGCGAGTTTACATCGCGCGACTAAGAATCACTGCCGTCATCAATACAGCATGCAGGCCGTATTCGGGTGCAGTGCTTGTTCTCTGAGACAGGTTGAAGCGGAGCACAGTAATGATGTATAAATTTAAACTTCAGGATCTAAAATATTAATGGTACAAGCAGAAGCTAAAATACTAATGGTACAAACAGAAGCTAAATACTAATGGTACAAACAGAAGCTAAACTACTAATAGTACAAACAGAAGCTAAACTACTAATGGTACAAACAGAAGCTAAACTACTAATGGTACAAACAGAAGCTAAACTACTAATGGTACAAACAGAAGCTAAACTACTAATGGTAAAAACAGAAGCTAAACTACTAATGGTACAAACAGAAGCTAAACTACTAATGGTACAAGCAGAAGCTAAACTACTAATGGTACAAACAGAAGCTAAACTACTATTGGTACAAACAGAAGCTAAACTACTAATGATACAAACAGAAGCTAAACTACTAATGGTACAAACAGAAGTAGTCTGCAGTGCCTGCCTCCTCACATAGGATGAAGCAAGGACAGTAATGATATATAAATCTACACTTTAAGAACTGCCATGCCTAATGGGACAAACAGTAGCAGTATGCAACACCTACCTACAGTAGCAGTATGCAACACCCACCTACAGTATCAGTATGCAACACCTACCTACAGTAGCAGTATGCAACATCTACCTACAGTAGCAGTATACAACACCTACCTACAGTAGCAGTATGCAACGCCTACCTACAGTAGCAATATGCAACACCTACCTACAGTAGCAGTATGCAACACCTACCTCCTCGGACAGGTCAAAGTTAAGGACCTGCTTGACTTCGGCCTTGTCGTCCATAATCTTGGTCCACCCATCCAGGTTGTCTTTGTTGCGGGGGAAGCCGTCAATGAGGAAGGAGTTGGTGCTGGTCGTGTTCTCCATGGCATTCTTAATTAGCTCGATGGTGATCTCGACGGGCACAATGGCACCGTTCGTGATGTACCATTCTGTTATGATGCATATGAGGAGTTGGATTAAGCATTGACTGTAGGATTGGAACGTATGGGAACTTGGGTTAGGTGTTGATTATGGGATTAGAACGTACGAAGTGTTGAATATAAATTTAAAATGTATGAGGATTTGGGTTAAGTGTGTTGAATATTAATTCATAATGTATGGGGATATGGGTTAGGTGTTCATTATAAAATTGGTTTGTGTGGGGAATTGGTGTTGAATATAGAATTAGAATGTATGAAGTTTTGGGATTAGTGTTGAGAATGGGAATAGAATGTATGGAGATTTGGGTTAAGTGTTGTTTATGCGATCAAAATGTATGGAGATTTGGGTTTAGTGTTGATTATAGGATTTGAGTTAAGTGTAGAAATAGCGTATTGGTTGGTACATGTGAAACGACGCCACATGTGATGTGAATAAGTAGAGCCACACATACAATCACCCCAACGCATGCGCGTGCAAGTTCCTAGTCAAGCATCGTACGCGGATAGATTCCACACTCGTGACAAATACATATACACAGCAGCAAGCACGCCTCTATGCTCTTACCAATCAAGTCTCCATTCTTAGATGTTTTGTCGGCCCGCTCGGCCCGCAATAGGTCACCCGCAGAGAGATGCACGTAGCCGTATTTCTGGAAGTTAGTTAATTGCACCGCTTCAATTTAGCTACGGGTGAGCATGCTTCTCGCTGGCGACCCTACTAGACTAATTTGTGGGCGGGTCTCACGGCCCTAAAATAAGGGAAAAGAGGTGCAAGGAAACGCGCATGCCGCACACTTGCAATGTACTCTGGTAGATCGCAATTGCAGGCACTACTTCCTTTTAATATTGTGTATGTGGATATGCAGACGTTCATATATCTACGCGCATAACCGAGACGAAGCGTAGTCATTATCCAATTTTCTATCGAAGTACAGGTGGGCGTCCTTGCATGTTCACTCGTAGATGAGAAGAAGCAATATCAAACTATAGGTGGTGGACTATCCCACATTTATGCGCGCAAACGTGTTTCATATGGTATACACCGTGAAGTTCGATTACCACAAGTCACTGTCACCAACATAGCTATAAACACAATCCGCGTGATCACTTACATACCAGATGCAGCGTGGTCCGTGCCCAGGTGTGCGCCGACATGCCAACACAGCACAATTGAATCGAAACAGTTACAAGTGCGAGAGCTAGCTAAATAAAGAAGCGCTGCAATCAGGTGTAGCACATACACCCCGAGAACTGCTTGCAGCACGCCTCACCCACACTACCGTCCCGTCTCTACTATCTTCTACTCACACTCACTGGGGGCACCCAAAGCACGATAGACAAAGTTACAATCTCACACGAAAGTGAGTGCGCAGACGTAGAAGCTCAGCTGTCGCACCCACATCTCCCACATCAGAACCGCAGACTATAAGCGTCGCATCACACACATACCGCCACAATCTTTTCACACTGGGTTCCCTTGCCAGCGCCAGGTCCGCCGAGGACGAACAGAACGTTGTACTTGGCGGTAGGGGCCATGGTTGATAACAAACGAGATACTACTGAGGGGTGCCGTGTGAAAGCCCTGAGCTATAGACACACAGAGAGAAGACGCAAGTGGTTTGCATGAGCTAATGCACGTGTGCATGAGTGGCCTTTGCAATCCTTCTCACCTACTGAAAGCGGTCGGGTGGACAGTGTGATATGTTAATACTGACGGACCACCCAAGAGCTTGGCAGTGTATAGTATTCGTATGAGCCAGTGCAGGTGCTTCAGCATGATGTAGTAATTCCTACATGTATGCAAAACCTAGGAACGCGGCTCTCAACGACCACAGCAAATATCACCTGAAAGGATAGACACGTATCTTGAAGGAGATACACGTACGGTGCATGCACAACGTACCATGTGTGTGCCGTACAGAACTACTACAGCAGCTACCACGAACTATAATCTGTGATGTAACTGAAAAATGTGTTACTCCCCGTAGACGAAGGCGAATACTAAGTCTACAGACGCAGTACTTTGCATTTGACAAAATGTTTCCATGCTATCAACGTTATAGCAAAGCTTGATGGCGTGTTTTCACAAAGAACAAATCGAGTCTTGCATTTCAAAGAACTTATATATATATATATATATACATATATATATATATATATATAAATACTATCTTTAGATTAAATGTAAACAAGCACAATACAGCATCTGTTCACATTTATAAGCACTGAATTTGTTCCGGAGCACCTACCGTGTGTTGAGCGGAGCCTAACAGCTTGAAGGAGAACCAGCAAAGTAAATGTTCAACTGATTGAAATTGTTGGTATGAGGACATTCATATCACACAAATATATTATATCCCGCTCTATGGTACCCGTTAAAAAAATATCGATGTTTTTGTTTTGTTTTATTACATTCACAGATCCCTCCAATTTTTGGCCAAAGGCTGAAGAGTCCCAGACGGGCGGGTCCGTCACCAAAGGGCCCATCCATCAGTCCGTCATATCAACCCAAAAGGGTTTCAACATCATTATGGCCCACGGGGTATCAACCCAAAAGCGCCGAGTGAAGGAGACTGAAAAGGGAGTGTTTTTGTTTTTGTTCTCTTTAAAAACCAAAAAAAAATGTATTGCGCTATGAGACAGGTGATTTCAGTATATATATTTATTATATAGGAACGTTCGAGTACACAATGCTAATCCGCTACGTAGTGTGTGCGGATTTGTGTACGTGATCGGTTGTGGGGTACATTCCAACTCCTATAACACAAGGTGGCATGCTGTCTGTCATAGCTTTGAAACAATTCTCAGCGAAAAGGCTGCTGTAATATATAG